CCCTGAAGTGACCATGAGCCCCCCTCTTCTTCTCCTCCCCTCCCTTCTCCTCCCCTGTCAGCCGCTATCTCTGCCGCCACTACCCTCTCCCTCTTTGCTTCATCAAAACAACCCCCAACCCGCAGCCACCACTTCTCTCTCTTGTTGACTTCCTCCCATCCTTCTCTTCCCTGTGTCTCTCCTGTTCTCTCTCCCCGCCCCCTTGCTTGGTTCTCTTTCATTTCTCTCCCTCTCCTCTGTCATTTTCTTCCATTTTTTCGTCCCTCTCACCCCTGGTCTTTAGCTGATGTGATGGTTTGGTTGGTTTGCATTCCCTCTCACTGGGGGTGGCTCTCTGAGGCCGACCACGTACTGGCTGGGTCTTTTACCTAGTTAGCTCCTAGAATCCATCCACAGCTCTGGGAGGAGAGGAGAAGGAGGCCCAGAGGAGGTGAGGACTTGCCTGAAGCCACACAGCTTGCTGGACAGGGCTTGGAAATCTGCTATGGTTCCATGTAGGACTGATTTGCCGCAGGGACCAAATGCCATTTGTGATCAGATATTATCTGCGATCTTCCAAGATCTCTTTTGAGGAGGCCAAGCTCCTTGAAAGCCTACATGAGCCATGTGCCATCTCAGAGTCCTAGGCCTGGCCTTCCCCGGGGAGCCCAATGCCCCAGGCCAGGTTTGGAAAAGCTTTCTGGCATAGAAGAAAGCTGGGGGTCTGTGAGCTCTAGCTTTGCAGACATTGGTCATGTTCATACTTATAACATGGCTGAGCCAAGTCACAGCCAAGGCCCGTCTCCCACCTCTGACTTCTAAGGCGGCGAAAAAGTCGAGTGTCATCTAATGCCAGGGCCACCTCTCCTCCCGACAGCAGTGAGACCCCATGATGCTGGGATCCACTTCAGGAGGTAACTCTGTAGAGAAGGAAGAACCCAGGCCCTTTTGTTTTGACAGGAAAAGAGAAGCCCCAGTGAGGAGAGTCCCGGGCAAGCCTAGCTGAGGTGATTGAGGAAGACAGCACGGGAAGGAAGGCTTTGAAGCTGTGCTGGCAATGTTTCAGGCCGGAGGCCTCACAGTCAGGTGCAAGGACTAAGTTATTCCGAAACCGCGGCTGAGCTCAGAAAAGAAGGTGAGGCTTGGCCCCCACGTGAAAAGAGGAACTCGAGTTAAAATAAGCAGCGATGGGGTCTCTGGCCTCATCCCACTGTCCGTGTGCTCTCATTTGCAATCAGTAGACGTCAAAAGGTCAGCAGTTCAAACCTACCTGTCGTGGGAGAGAGAGAAGGCAAGACTCCATAAGGGTCTGCAGGCCGTTCTCCTCTGTCCAGTAGGGACAGTGGAGTCAGGGCTGACTGATGGCAGTGGGCTTGGTGTTTTAAAGAAGTCTAGCATAGTGCCTAAGGCACTTGACTGCTAACCAGAAGGCTGGCGGTTCAAACCCACCAGCCACTCCTCAGAAGGAAGGTTGGGTATTCCTACTTCCGTAGTGATACTGCCTTGGAAACCCAAAGAGGGGTCGCTATGAGTCGGGGCCGACTCGATGGCAAATAACAACAACAACAACAACCAAACACATTGTCATGGAGTTGATTCTGACTGCAGTCTTTACAAGAAGCAGACTGCCACATCTTTCTCCCATGGAGCCGCTCTCTGGTGGGTCCAAACCACTGAACTTTCTTAGCAGCCGAGCACTGTAACCACTGTGGCACCAGGGCTCTTCGGTAGATATCTATGCTGGTTAGTTTTAGTAAGGTGTGTTTTTGTGGGAGTCACTGGGTGGTGGAAATGGTTAACATGCCTGTGTACTAACTGAAAGGTTGGGGGTTTGAGTCCACGCAGAAGCACCTTGGCAGAAAGGCCTGGCTATCTCCTTCTGAACCATCAGCCACTGCAAACCCCACGGGCACAGTTCTCCCCTGACACACGTGGGGTTGCCAGGAGTCAGAACTGGCTCGATGACAGCTGGTTTGGGCTTGTGTTTGGTTTGCTTTGGTTTTCGTATTTTCCTAGAAGGCATACCCTCGAAGGTGGAAACTCTACAGATTGCCAGGGCCCCACGGCAACCCAGTCACCTGGTGTTGGCTTCCAAGGTGCTCACAGTACTGAGGGACCGAGGACACGACAGACACCTCCACCAGGACACCTGCCAGGGCCACACCTCCTCTCTGGAAAACTGCCTGCCCGTTGCCCTTGCTGAGGGTGGCGACCATACTCTGTCCCTGTGACTCGGCCCCCGTCACTGAGTACACAGGGATGGACACCTGCCCCGGGAACGGGCTGTAACCCGGTCCTACCTCAGCCATGGCTTCTCAGTGGCCGTGTGGAGAAAGCTGTTAGTGGCTGAGCTGATCATGTTCCCTCTTGGGGCTGGGGACACAGAAGTGAACAGGTGAGAGGAGAAGCCAGGCCTGCAGAAAAGAACTGAGGTGCAGGAGGCTAGAGGCCAGAGGGTCCTCAAGCCCCCTCTGCTGTCCTGGCTGCAGGCATCTCCACATCCCCACAACAGCTTCTCACTGCTTCCACGAATTAGCCAAAGTGAGTCCCGGCAACCCCCATAGCCAGATGAGACGCCAGATTCGAAAGCTTCCGGAGGGAGGGCCCCATTTCACAAAGACCCAGGACACCACAGCAGCCACTGTACGAGGTTTTGAGGGGGACACACTTGAGACATAGTTTGCATGCTTACAAGCCCAGGGTACAAACTGTATGCAAGAAGCCCTTCCCAGCTAGGGCAGAGTCATACTTAAAGTTTCCTTTCCTTTGAAGGAACAGAGGAAACCACAGGGGAAAAAATCAGACACTTTGATCAAGTTTTAACTTGAGAACTTAGACTCCTCTGAGCAAACCATGCATCAAGGCCGCCAAGCCAGCTGGTGAAGTTCACTAAGTACTAGACCTGGGAAGGTTTGCTAAGCCCATTGAGGCCAACTGTTTGCCGAGAGCAGTCCTCCTCTTAGCTGCCACATCCCCACCAGATGGGAGCCAGCCATTGCAATGACAGGGAGCTGTCATTTACCTGAAAGGACGGTGTACCAACAGTAGGTGTACCAACATCAGCTCCTAATGACATCTACTGAGGTGGAGACATGTGGGCATCCCAGACCAGCCTCAAACCTTCAAACCGAAGCTCTTTCTGTATTGTGCCAGATGCACAGGTGCGAAGATGAAGAAGCCAGAGCAATGCTCAGCCTGACCCCTATTGTTGTTAGTTGCTGTTGAGTTCATTCCGACTCACAGCGACCCTATGTACAACGGAACGAAACGCTGCCCTGTCCTGCACCATTCTCACAACCCTCACTACGCTTAAGCCTGTCATTGGCTCTACTAGGCAGAGCAATTCCACTGGAGCCCAAACTTGCGTCTCCCACTGGCACCCTGCAGTGAACATTCCCAGCCTGCTGAGAGGGTGGGTTCTCGACCATCTGGCTTGGTTTAAGCATGCTCCCTGGGGGTCTCACTGCCCATCCCAAGTGGTTCCTTGAAGTGATTCCTTTCATCTTCATAAACAGTCTTATCTCTGCTAAACACAGCTTCTCTCTCTTGATGCATTTTTGGTGATTTGTGCCCCAGGGACCTGCCTGTGGTCCTGCCCTTGACTGCAGGTTCAGAATGCTCTCTGGACCCAGGCAGAACAAATCATTCCCTTCAAGTTTAAAAGCCGATGATCATGCCCTGAATGTCCGTGGTGGCACAAGTGGTTCGCAGTTGACTGCTAGCCTAAAGGTTGGTAGTTCTAACCCACTCAGCTGTGCCTAAGGAGAAAGGTTTGGCAATCTGGTCCTGTGAAGATTACGGCCAAGAAAACCCTATGGACAGTTCTACTCTGTGACACGTGGGTGTCCATGAGTGGAAATGGGCTTGAAGGCAGTGAGTTCATTTGTTTGTTCTGTGGGTCATAGCTTTACTCCCCACCATACCTGCACTTTCTTTTCAAGGAAGGCCCCGGAGCCTGTCATTGCTTCTCCCTGACATGGTTTCCACATCCTTGTCCATCCCTCTGTCCTGTTTGTTGCTGTGCCTCACCGTGTCCCGTGAGGACTGGGCGGGACCCCCCTGCCAGGAACACACCTTCTTGGTTCTCCGCACCCCTGCGTTCTCATCATGCAGCCAAATAAATAGGCGCCACATCACCAGGTTGTCACACACTGTGGTCAAACAAAGCCCTGGGCGTTTGTCACACAGACAGTGCTCAGGTGGTCTTCTCCAGCTCGGTTTTATTTTAAAGCTCAGTTGCCAGTTTGCAGAAGTAGATGCCACCTTGAGCCTTAGATGGAACTGAGTTCTACAAATGGAAAGACACTGGCCCATCCTAAATGGCCCTGGGTGGACCAACTGGTTTGTGCTGGTTGGCTGGTTTTGAACTGCCAACCTTCTGGTTAGCAGTCAAATGCCTTAGGCACTGTGCCACCAGAGCTCCTTACTAACCTAAAGGCTGCTGGGTGAACCCAATCAGCAACAGTGCAGCAGAAAGGCCTAGTGACCTGCCTCCATAGAGACGACAGCCGAGAGAGCGCTAGGGAACACTTCTGGTCTGTAACACGCAGAGGCGCCACGAGTCATCGGAATCAGCTCAGCGGTGGCAGGTTTGGTTTTGCTTTTTGGGGTCGTTCTATCCGTTGGGCAGTCTTCTAGTCGTCAGAATATTCTGTGTTCCACGAGTTCTCCTCCCCTCCCTTCCCTCCTTGACCGCCTGCTCTCACCCATTTGCGAGCAATGCAGACAATCGTTGGCCAAAAGCCCATCTGTCTTTGCCATCATGCCCCTTCCACACCCACCGACACAAAGACCCTTGTTCTTCCTGCTCCATCAGAGAGCAGGCTCATGCCGGAGGACGGCGGTTTAGCTGCTAAGCCATCCCTCACCCCATGGACTTCTGGGCGAAAGATAGGCTCACCCAGGCCTTCCTGTCTAGGCTGCCTACAGGATGTTTGCTCTTCTCTTCTTCCTCTTTTTCACTTTCTTTGCCAACAGAGGTCCAAGCCAGGCCCAGGTTTCTGTGTCTATAAGTGACTCACCTGAACAGTGAACTTATCGTCTTCATTGGGCAGAATCCTGTAAGTGTAAACGCAGTTCCGATACCTGAAATAAATCAAAGACTTCGTTAGCACCTCCTCAGTGAAATATGTTTTTCTCCTAACAGAAAAGACAATTACTGACATAGCTAGAGGAAGCTGGGCAGGAAGTTTCTGCGTCTTGGAGCTGACCCTCATCTGAGCTGGAGATTATCTCTGATGTCAATCAGTCCTGGACAAAGGCGTCGCTTGTCTCGTGACCTGCACTGGTCAGCGTTCAAGGGGCTTCAGGAAGAGGCCATCTGCACAGGGCCACGTGATCCATCCCTGGGCTTGGCAGCTAGTCCACCTGCTCTAAAGGCATCCACCATCTGGGAGGGCTTCCTCCAGCCCCAGCTGTGCTGGCCCAAAGACCAGGAGCAGGAGGGGCTTTTAAGAGGAAACAAGACTCTGGGAGGGCCGAGCAGCGTGGGTCGTGCTGGATGGGTATTGGGCCACCACAGAGGGGGCGCTCGGCATTGGTGGGGCATGTCCCCCCCGCCGAGCTTCCCCTGCCCCCGTGCCCTGCTTCCTTGGAGACTTTGCCCCATGGGTTCGCTCTCCTGAAGGTTGGCCACAACCCAACCAGATTCCCGCGGCAACTGAAGAATGAGTCCTGGATTTGCTTCTAACAAGGAAGTGCTAGGAGTCACAGCTCTTCTACTCCTTCATCTGGGTCAGGGGTCCCCAGTGAGAGGAGGAGGAGCTACTTCATATATATACATACATACATACATACACATATATACCTATACATACATATAGGTGTGTATTCATATGTGTATATAGCTGCACACACATGCACATATAGACATACATATATATACATACGTTTATACATGTATGTATGTATATCTATTTACACATAATTTTTTCAGAGTAGTTTGAGGTTTTAGGTTTACAGAAAAAGGGTGCAGAAAGCTCAGAGAGTTGTCATTCATTTCCACCCCCCCCGGTCCCCCGGCAACCGTTTCCCCGGTAACATCTCACATTTACGTGGTGCATTTGTTACAACTGATGAACCAATATAGATGCATTATTATGAACTCAAGTCCACCGTTTACATTAGGGTTCACTATTCCTGTTGTGCAGATCTGTGGGTTCTGACAAATGCATGATGTCATCTGTCCCCACTACAGTCAGGCAGAATAGTGTCACTGCCCTGAAAACGCCCTCCACCCCACCTGTTCATCCTTCCAACCTCCCTTTGTCCCCTTGGAGGCCCCTGATTTTTCACTGTGGCCTTTTCCAGGATGTCTTATAGTTGGAATCATTCAGGATGTAGCTTTTTCAGACTGGCTTTTTTCTTTTTAACAGGATGCATTTAAGGTGAGGTGTGACTTTCCATTTTCATAAAACCTCTGAGAGGAAGGGCTTTTGTCATATCTGAGCACCTCAGAAGAGGGACACATTGGTGGGCGGTCACCCAGCCCACCGGGAGCCTGGCAGGGGCGGCTGCAGTCCTGGAAGTCCACCTGCTTGACTGTCAAGCCTGGCAGGACAGCAAGAGTTCGGAGAAACGCTTAGTTTGAGTCTTCTTGTCTTGTCTTGTTGTGTGCCGTCGAGTCAGGCCCGACTCATAGCGACCCCTCCTTGGGTTTCCGAGGCAGTATAATACGGAAGTAGATTGCCCCATCTTCCTTCCGAGGAGTGGCTGATGGGTTTGAACCACCAGCCTTCTGGTTAGCAGTCAAGTGCCTTAGGCACTATGCCACCAGCGCTCCTAGTTTGGGTCTTAGAAGATAACTATCTTGCTGAATGTGAAGCTGACCTGAAACACCTACTGATGAAGATCAAAGACTGCAACCTTCAGAATAGATTACACCTCAATATAAAGAAAACAAAAATCCTCACAACTGGGCCAATAAGCAGCAGCATGAAAGATGGAGAAAAGATTGAAGTTGTCAGCGCACTAGGATTTCATTTTACTAGGATCCATAATCAACGCCCATGGAAACAATAGTCGAGAAATAAAACAACGTACCACAAAGGGCAAATTTGCTGCAAGGCCTCTTTAAAGTGTTAAAGAGCAAAGATACACCTGCCCCAAGCCATGGTATTTTCAATCACCCCATACGAATGTGCAAGCTGGATAATGAATAAAGAAGACCAAGGAAGAATTGATGTATCTGAATTATGGTGTTGGCAAAGAATACCAAGCACAGCCTGGACTGCCAGAAGAGTGAACAAACCCATCTTGGAAGAAGCATAGCCAGAAATTTCCTTAGAAGTGAGGATGAAGGCCTCCAACTCTTACTTTGGCCACACTGTCAGGAGGGACCACGCCCTGGAGAAGGAGTTCATGCTCGGTAGAGGGTCAGTGGAACAGAGGAAAGCCCTCAGTGGGATGGGTTGCCACAGTGGCTGCAAGAAGGGGCTTGGGCATAGCAATAATTGTGAGGCAGTGTTTGTTCTGCTGTACGTGGGGCTGATCTGAGTCGGAACCGACTTGATAGCACCTAACAACAGTCTTACAGGCTGTTTGTTCTCTTAACCAGATTGCTGTTAGTGGCTACTGAGTTGGCTCCGACTCACAGTGACTTTGTGCACAAAGGGTCAAACCGTTGTGATGCAGGGCTCTCATTGGCTGATTTCCAGGAGCAGATTGCCAGGCCTTTCTGCCCAGTCTCTCCTAGTCTGGAAGCTCCACTGTAAATTGCTCAGCTTCACAGCAACACACATGCGCCCACTGGCCAACGGGTGGGGACTGCACATGTGATGTGGTGGCCAGGAATAAGGAAGGTGAGAATTCTGCACTGAGTCATCCCTGCCCCTGAGCCACCGTGATCTCCCCTTATTCCCTCTGCGTGAGGTCCCCAGGAACCGTGAAGGCCTGCCGTCCAGCTGAACCCCCTAAGGCAGGGGCCACAGTCCAGCTCAGTAGATGTAAGGGTGTGTGAGATCAAGATGATGCTTCAGTGGAGAAGTTCCACTTCTGAGCTCTTCCCTCGTGCCGGGCACTTCACTAAACGTTACCATATGCTATGAACGAGATTGGAGGAGCCCTGGTGGAGCAGAGGTTAAAGTACGCAGCGGCCAACCACAAGGTCAGTGCTTCAAAACCACCAGCTGCTCCACGGGAGGAAGATGAGGCAGTCTGCTTCTGTAAAGATGACAGCTTGGAAACCCTACGGGGCAGTTCTACTCTGGCCTGTAGAGTCTCTGTGTTTCAGAATTGACTCAATAGCAATGGGTTTATTAACTAGATTTTTAAAATTATACACTAGTTTTTAAAAATTCAGGATGATATGAAATGAAAAGTCAATATCTCTTTCCCCTCCCAGGTGTCCCATTTCATAGACTTAACATTCTTTTTTGTCAATTGTTCTAGAACTTTTAAGTTTGCACACACACTTATACATGTATATCTTTAAAAATACAGATAGTATCAGACTATATACAATGTTCTGGAATTTGCTTTTTTCACCAATAAAAAAATCTTAGAGGTCTCCCCAAATCAAGCAATCACCAAAGAGCCAAACTTGTTGCTGTCAAATCAATTCTGACTCATAGTCGAGTGAAACCCTACAGAGGTCCTATAGGACAGAGCAGAACTGCCCCCTTAGGCTTCCCAAGGCTGTAACCTTTATGGGAGCAGACTGCCACACCCTTCCTCTTGGAGAGGCTAGTGGGTTCGAGCCACTGATATTTTGGTTAACAGCTGCAGGCTTAACCATGAGGGCACCAGCAGAGATGGTTTATTACCATTCAAATTATGTTCCCCCATGTGGCTGGACAATAATTTATTCGATCAGACTTCTGATGATGGCAAGTGGTGATTCAGGTCTTTGTTATTATAAATAATGCTGCAGGGAACATTTTTGCGTACATGGGTGAATTCGTAGTTCTAATTTCCTCATTAATAAAAGGTGGATCATAATAAACCAAGGCCTACCTGTTGGGGCATGGATGACATGATTTAACGTAGAAAAAGCACCCACAGCCATGCCTGGTGCCCACTGGACCTTACGCATTGACGTCTGTTAGTGATTGCTGATGGGCCATGAGGAGGCCCATTGGGCTGAAGGTCATGGGCATTTGACATTTTCATAGAACCTACGAGCCAGGCTGTGCCACACCTTCTAACCGGATATGACAATGTCTGTTTCCCCACACACCCTGCCAACTGAGTGTTATCACACTTCTCAATCTTCATGAATCTTCTAGGTGAAGGAAGAAGGATAGTTTGCTGTAATTCGTCTTTCTTTATGAAGAAGGTTGAGCATTTTCTTCTAGGTAGTTTTTAGCCATTTGTGTTTCTTTTCCTGTGAGCTCCTTTCATGTCTTTTGACTGCTGTTTTTTTGGTCATTCATCTTTTTATATTTATTAGTAAGAATGTCTGATACATGCTGTAATCTTTTGTAGCTATTTTATTTTTATTGATTTTCTTTTAAGCTATGTAGAAGTTTTACAACTTGATGTGGTCAAATGTATCCATCGTTTAGTTTATGCCTTTGACTCAATGAAGGTTCAAGTACAACGGTGGGCCCTTTCCTGGGTAATGGCACTCCCGCTCCTTGCTCACAGCGAAGTCCTTTCCTTCCTTTCTCCTATGCCTTTTGTTCCCTATCTTCCCACTCCCTGGCCTGTTCCCAGAGCCTGAAGTGACACCATCATTGGCTTACTTGCCAGAGGGCAAGGATTAATCTCCAGGCCGGTGGTTTTCTGCTCTGTCCTATGGAGTGGCTATGAACAGTGGCTAAAGAACTAGGTTGGTAGCCCAAAGGTTGGCAGTTCAAATGCTTCAGCCACTCCTTGGAGGAAAGATGAGGCAGTCTGCTTCTGTGAAAGATTTACAGCCTTGGAAACCCTATGGGACAGATCTACTCTGTCCTACAGGGTTTCCCTACGAGTCAGAATCAACTGCATGGCAACAGGATAGTCAAAGTTATCTAACACCTACCAACCACCACCAGTGCCACCTCCCCTCCAGAGACAACCATGGAACAGGGAAGCCACGCACCACCTCAGCCCCCTGTGCAGGCAAAAGCCGGTGCCAGCCTGACCCAGCTCTGCCTTTATCTTTC